AGATTGGAAAGATAGGAAGGAACCAGGTTACCAAGGGCTTTAACCATCACGAGATTTTATATTTCAATCTGGGGAAATAGGGAGCCCAAGGAGCTGATTGCCTTGAGGGGGTGCAGGGGGTGATTTTGATACTAGGGAAAGAGTAAGTCACAGAGGTTGTAAAGCAAATGCTCAAAGAAAAGAGGCAGATTTCCCTTAGCTACAATCCAGTTTCTCCTGGGACTGAAATAGGTCTGTCCTGCCCTGTTCACCTTATTTTCCAATCTTTGTAACAGGAACTCGACCAGAATGATACACTGGGAAGCTCCAGGGAACTCTGAGCAGGACAAACTTCAAGGCACCGACCTGACCAAATAATGCTAGGTCATAAACTCTGGGAAGGTGGCAATAGTCACACACCAGACAAAGCCTTTACCCTCCCCACTTTATAACCATTTTGTTAATTCAAATGAAGCCCGCCTTTGTGGCCTCAGTCCAAACAGAGCAGAACAATTTTTTTTTTAAAAAAGGCACCCTGAATGTTTACACAGAACCTTTCTTCCCAGAAGCTCAAAAGTGATTTGGGGACATTCTCTCATTAACCTAACTAAACAGCCCAAGGCCAGTCCCCCTGGACAGATTTAATACCAAATCCAGGAGGCACAAATACTCCCACACAGAGTTGGAGAAAAGAGGAGGGAGGGAATGAGTTTCAGGGAAAGTTGCTACCAGGATGATAAAGCCTGAGCTAGCTCTTCTGGAGGTGACAGTCCTAAACAAATCAGTCCTGCAGTCTGCCCCCCTGAGCTTTGCTGCCCAAGGCCAGTTAGGCACTACCCTAACCTAACCAATTCAATGGGCTGCAGAGAAATAGATGGACCTTTCTCCTCTTTTCTCCTCTAGTTCACACTGTGATTAAAAAAAAAAGTGTGTGGGTATTCCCTGCCCCAACTCTACCACATAGAACCAAAAGAATCTACATGTTATTCATAGATCACCTTTTAGGGGAAAGTGAGTCACCAAATGTGGTTTTTCAACTCACTTATATTGCCAATTTACTAAGAAAAAAATGTCTTAAAGAACTCCTGAATTCAACAGCTATTTGTGTAGCCAACAACTATTTATGTATATGTGTATGTGTATGTATATGTGTGTGCATATATACATACACACACAGAAAAAGAGGGGGAGGGGGAGAGAGGGAAGAGAAGGAGGAGAGAGCCAAAAGTCTTACTGCCATTTTAAGCAAATGGCTGTAAGACTTTTGTCTACCCCTCTGCAGTGGGTCCCACAGTTACTATTAATTTCAGTTGTACAGAAAACAGATGCTCACAGATGTTAAGTGATTGTCCATGATCACACAACTATAATTATCAGAGTCAGGATTTAAACCCAGATCTTCACATTTAGCATAGGTTCCCAGAATTAGTGCTGGAATATATCTTGAAGGTCATCTAATCCAATCTCTTCATTTACAGATGAAGAAACCGAGTCCCAGAGAAACTGTGACTTACCCCAAGTTCACACAAGTACTATGACAGAGCTAGACCTTAGAAGCAGGTCTCTGATTTTAAATGCACCGCTGCCTCTCTCTACATTCTATCTGCCACTTCTATATTTGGGGCATCTGCTGCTTCTTTCTACGCTTCACTTTTGGCCCTATCTTTTAGAAGAAGGAATTTAGAACCTTCCATTTAACAATCAAGCTCTGCTAGTTGGCTAAGTGACCCATGGCAAATATCTCTTTACAGATTTCTCAAGTACTAACAGGAGGGACTGACCATCTTATCAGAATATCTTCTTAAAACCACAAGTCAGGTCAAGCCCCTGATCATGTCTGACCTCTGGCAGAAAAACCTTTGGAAAATGCCCTTGAGATGATAGAATCTTATAATGTTAAAGCAGGAAGAAAAATTATTTAGTCCAACCCCCCTCATACAGATAAGAAAACAGGCAAAAAAGTGCAATGACTTGTTCATCATCCCATGGTAAGTGACAAAAGCAAATATTCAAACTCAGATCTTTTGATTCCAAATTCACAGCTCTCTGCACTAAACAATACTGTCTTTTCATTGTGCTGCCTGGTCCCTCATAAAGCCAAAGATGATGCTACTTACTAATTTGCTGTGGGGGGGGGGCAGTGATTGAAACCAGTCCTTAAATGACATTAGATGGATTTAATATGATTCATTCAACTCTCACCTGATCTCCCATATAACCAACAGTCTGTATTTGCCAGATAGCTAGTCAGGATTAGGAGTACACTGTGGCCACAGAAGAGAGAAATGAGCTCACTTGGGGGAGTCTAATCAATGCCAGTGGCTTCATTAGTTCTGTACTAAAACTGAACTAACCAGCTACAAACCACCAGGGACAACAAGCACAGAAAAACAAAACAGAGATGCCCCAAAGCTCTGCCAGTTGAATCTGAAAAAGACATTGCTCTGAAACCTGAAATGTACCCAAAGGCGGTGGCAAGTAGATTCTTCCAGCACAATCTTCTACTTCAATGTTTGGTTGTTTTTTTTTAAAATGAGGGCATTCTGTGAGACTTAATTTTGCTTGAGTATGCATATACTCAAGGGTTTTGTTCTTTATTTCTCCCCCTATGGGGAGGTGAGAGAGAGAAAAAGAGTTTCAGTCATTTAAGAAAATTAAAAAATAAAAATGGGGCCATTCTAGCTTTGCTCAGAGAGGAAAACTCAAAGAAAACTCTCAACCCATAAGCTATATGAATAGACACTTTAAGTGAGAAGAAATCATTTTTTCAAACGTTGTTGTGTCTAATCAATCTGTACTTTATTTTTTTTAAAGGATTAAACAGACAATTTCCCTAGGAAAAGAATGTTCCTACCCTTAGCAGGGAAGTATGAAGAAATGACCTTTTTGGAGCCAGTATTACCAATTACTACTGAGTTTCTTAAAACAGCTTAACTCAATTTAGTTTAGGGGAGAAAAAAGATTAAAATTCACCTTAAGTTTTCAGCCCAAGATTTCCAGAGAAAAACAAGGCCAAACAATGCTAAGTTAAGTGGCAAATTTGGAAGACAAAGAAAGAAAAGAAAAGCATATGATATGGTTAGACTGGTATGACAATTCCTTTATCATAAGAAATATTTTGGTATCTGCCTTACCAATACAAAAACACTTTGGAAGGCATAATTGCAAAATTAATTTCCTAATGAAAAATATGCCTTCTACTGCTTCAATTCATCCCTGAGCTCTTCACGTTTGAGGTAATGAAATCTTAAGTTTAATGTTTAAGATAATGTTTACCTCTCAATCTTAATAGCCAAATTTGGGCTTCCATAGAGGAACATGGAGGTATCAGAATAGAACTGAGATATGGAGGACCTGACTTGAGATCTTCACATTTATTTCCCAATTTGACAAATATTTATTAAGCACCTACTGTGAGAAAAGCACTGTCGTAGGCAACAGGAAGATTAACAGAAAACAGTCCCTGCCCTCAAGGAGCTTGTATTTTTCATAGAGGAGAACCAACTGCATATGTTAAATTCAGAAAATAAAGGAAATAAAAACTTGGGCAAAAACCTCAAAACAAAAAAAAGACAGTACTGCATTTTTAATGACATTTTTGGGGAGGAAGAGTAACTAAAGAAATGGTACCTTTACAAAGTTTACAATTTAGTTGGACAAATAGTTCAAAAACGTATGAAAAGTGTTTATAAACTAAGAATGTTTACACAACCAGCTACCAATGCATGCAAATGAAATTAGCATGCCACATAAATTCCAAGAGAATATAGGAAAAATGACACCCTCTCTGCACTCACTATTTAGCCAGTCATATACACACAGGTTCACAAATTCAGCAGACTTTTAAAGTCCAATCTCTGATTTTTGTCTACACTTGGGAAAAAAAATAAAAGTTTTCAAAAACTTCCACAATCCTGACTGATTTAGAACACTTGGAAGTACTGCCTGAATCCTTCACACAGATGCTAGTGGCACATGCAACCTGGTGGTGTTACCTGAATGACATTACACTTATCTCAGTATTTGGGGATCAAGGTGAAGTTCGAGGCCATCAGGAACCCAGAAGTGTACCCGATTGCACTGGCAAGGATCTCGTGCTAGTCCAGTCAAATTCTGTACTCAGGTGTGTTGAGTTTTCTTCACCATGGATTTTGTTGACCTGGAGTAGCAAGGCTTCCATAAGGTACCTATTACTCATGTACCAATGTACCTATTACTCAAGCAGCTCACAACCTACTGTAATCATTTATTCCAAAAACAGGTGTAGGGAAGAAAGATAGACACACACATGCAGTTGGCATAGCTGTTCAAACTCTATAGAGGCCAAATCTTTCAGATCATAATTAATATTTCTTGGTTTCCGGCACCAAAGTAAGACACAAAAAGCTCGCGCCCGGCTAAGAACTGCTTTCTGGGGCGCTCTCGGTGCCCCCCCCCACACCTCCTACTCCCGCCTTCCTATCCTGTAATCCTTAGGGGCTCCCTCTAGCCCGGCAGGCAAACCAAACCCAGATGCATGGAGTATAGTCACTTTAGGGAGGTCTAACCTGAGGGACTCTAAAGCCGACTTGGAAGGGCACTTCAACCCACATTAGCATCCCAAACCCCCTCCCACTCACCCACCATAAGCCGTTCAAAGCCTCTCCATTCTGAGATTTTTAAAGAGAAGTCTATTCCTAGAGTGTCAATTCCACATTAGGCTACGCTTGGCACTGAGCACAGTCATCTCAGAGAAAGCCGCGGGAGGGAAAAGGGGAGGAGGGCCACACTGCCCCGGACCCTAGACACTGGCCAACCAGACCCAGGACGCAGCCCCGAAGCGGGCGCTTTCAGCCGCGGAAAGAGCTTTCGGGGCTCCGCTGCTGTGCCTCTCATTCCCCCAGCTCCTCCCTCCACCAGAGGTGCTGACTGTGCGTACCCCCGGGTCTCCCAGGACATGAGGCATCCCGGATAGGGAAGGTCCCGTGAGCCGCCCGGCGCTCCACAGCCCGAGAGTCCAGGGAAGGAAGAAGAGCACTTACTGAGCGTGGCCACCGTGCCGGCCTCGAAGAGTAGACAGTCGGGGCGGCTGCGGGCCTCCAGCAGGGTGCTGCTCTCCCCCGGGGGCTCCAGCCTCCGCAGCAGCCGCAGTCCTTTGCTCAGAGCCATGGGGAGCTCTACTCATAGGCGAGGAGGGGGCCGCGAGACACCGGGTAGGAGGCAGGAGTGAAGCGCCCCAACCTCCCAAACTCCTCCAGCCTCACCGGGTGCTTCCAGCCAGCCGGCCCGAGCGCCAGGATCGGAGCCCCCGCGCTGTCCAGTCTCGGGATCTGCCCCCGCTTACTCCCCCTAGGAGGAAGCCGCTGGCTGCAGCCCAGCTGGCCCGGGACTCAGAAGGCAGGGAGCTGTAGGGGAAGACCGCCAAATTCCCCTCCCTGGGCCAGGCCCTCCACGCTTTGAGCGACTTTCAGGAGTTTCACTTTGTCTCTCTACCCCCAGCCCTGCCCACTGCTGGCTCCTCCTTCTGCTCCCTCTCTCCTTTCCCCTCGCCGCCCTCTTGCCCCGGGGCAGGTGAGAGCTGTGGGCAGCCTCCCTAGCACTCTCTGTTCTTTCTTCCTTTCCTCGGGTTCAAAAGGCTTAGTGCTCCCCCCAGAGGTCTAGGGAGCAGCGCTTTCCTCCCCAGCTAGCCTTGGGGGCTAGCTGGCAGAGTAAAAAAGTCAAAACGAGCTTCTCCGAGAGTTCGCAGATGGTGGAACCTACTTTGGTCAAAGATCCTCAGAAGCCCAGTCAGTGCCAGGGTCTCCTCCAGGTTGTGGTAGATAAGGAGGGGCATTCCACACATTCCACATAGCTCTGAGGGGATGAAATCCAGCAGTTCTACAATTACAAAAAGAGACAGAGAGACGGACAGAGAGACAGACAGAGAACACTGAAGGAAAGTCCATAGAAGGTAGAGGTTACATAGTGGAAAGAACTGGGGATTAGACGTCAGGACAACTTGTTTTGCCTCACCTCATTAAACCTTGATAAGCCTCAGTTTCCTCCTGTGTAAATGGGGGTAATAATCTCTGCCTTCTCTACCTCATGGGATTGTTGAGGATAAAGTCAGATAAAGCACACTGAAAAACACTCTACAATCGTTGAGTATTATTCCTATAGTAACTGTGCTCTGGGCCCCACTCTCCCAGAGCAAGGCAGGCTGCATCTCTCCCTCAAGGTTCTAGGGGTACCCCTGAGGGTTTGGAGGTATCTTCTCTACTGCTATCTGCTCAGCCCCCATTCTCAATGGGTCCCCCCCCAGTCAGCCAATCAGCATCTTTATTAAACATTTCTGTACCGGGCTCTGTGCTAAGTGCCTCTATCACCTCTGACTAGAGCTCCAGTCCTATTTAACCAATTAATATCAATTAGCTTTTACAAAAGGATATTTACATGGAAGATATAGCAAGAACAGAAGTACAAACATTTCCTTCCAACACCTTGGAGGCATATCCTACCCGATAATGTCTCAGTCTCTGGAGAGGGTAGACTTAAGTTTCACACCAGTTCTACATAGTATTGGTCCCACCAAATTCAGGTCCAAATATGGCAGTGATTCTGGATGAGTTCTTCTCATCTTCAGGTCATCAATAGGCTGGTTATAAAACCCCAAACGGACTCATCAAAGACTCCTAGAGCCCCAGATTCCTGCACTCCAGAGGGTCTCCTGACCTTTTGATATTGATAAGGCCGTAGTCTCCAACTTCCTTCACCAAAAATGAAAGGACAAACTAATGCAGGTGACAAATCCAACCCTGTTTCCACTTACTCTCAAACTCCTGTTTTGATTACTCCAAAACCTGATTTAGGCTGTTAACAAGGTTTTACTGAGCCAGTCTCTAACCTGAGAATGAAGAAAGGGCAGGCCAGAGACAAAGAGCCTGTAATCAGGAAGCTGTTTAATTAATTAGTTTCATTATGAGGAACAGATTTGCAAACCGGGAATTATACTGATCAGAATTCCACTTTGCCAGGGCAGCTAGGTGGCACAGTGGATAGAGCACCGGCCCTGAAGTCAGGAGGACCTGAGTTCAAATCCAGCCTCAGACCAAACACTTCACACTTACTAGCTATGTGACCCTGGGCAAGTCACTTAACCCCAATTGCCTTAAAAAAAAAAGAATTCCACTTTGCTGAAATGAAAACAGAGATTATACACACAAATCACAAGTAGAAAGGTGGATTACAAACAGTGGTTTTCCTAGGTTTCAGCGGTTTCCAACAACAAACCCACAAATGGAAGACAATGCAACAATTCTGGAGTCTTGTAGGAGCAATATTGCTCAAGCCCTTGGGGGTCATTACTTGGTGGGTCACAGGACTAGAGTTCTGTAATGGGAACAGGATCTACAATCTTTGATTCGCTTCACTTCAAGTACGCAGGCACAAGGATGCCAGAGATTGTGAGCCTTGTCAAAGTTTGATTTATCATTTTAAGCTGCCTTGTGAGTTCTCCCACAAGAGAGGCAATTCTAAAAAATCTAATTTATTAGTATATTCATTACATATATCATATTGATTATTATAAAAATCGGAATTCCCTTCACAAGGCCATCACTCTCCACACTGTTTCTGGACCTCTAGTGGCTATCTTCATGCTGGCAACATCTCCATCTCTACAGTCTTTTCCTCTGGTGGTGAGTTCCTTCCTGAACCTATATTTGAGAAGCACCCATATCAGATGTGTTTACTCCAAACCTAGTTCAGCTCATGATTCTTTGGCTTTCTTCTGGATCCTCTCCTCTTCTACCCACCCCCCTTTTCAACTATCCTTTTATGTGCTGTCTTCCCCCATCAGGATGTAAGCTCCATGAAGGCAGGGATTCTCTTATTATTATTTTTTGCTAGTATTTGCATTTCCTGTTCTTAGCACAGTGCCTGGTACATAGTAAGCACTTAAAAAATGCTTTATCTATCTTTCCTAGAGCCACATGTTGGCTTGAGAAAGGAGAAGGCCTGAAGCCTCTGTCCTTTCAGCATTGTCTCTTTTTGTGTTTGTTTGTTTTTGGTGAGGCAATTGAGGTTAAGTGACTTGCCCAGGGTCACACCACTAGTAAGTGTCAAATGTCTGGTCTGAGGCAGGATTTGAACTCAGGTCCTCCTGACTCCAGGCCCGGTGTTCTATCCACTGTGCCACCTAGCTGCCCCATCAGCATTGTCTCTTACCAGATGTCATTGGGTAAGGAAGAAGTGAGCCTAGAGAGAAAGAGGGCCTTTTTGAATGCCTCCCCCTTCTGTTCCAGCTCTGCAGCTGAAGCCAATCAGAGAGGCTGCTGATCAATAACACACAGTTAGTAGACCAGACCCAGTCACAGAATGTCTATGAATGCTCCAAAGTCTCTCCATTACCATCATCATGACTCTTAGAAGCAGGCTCCCAAATCTTGTTGTATTTGCATCAACAGCACTGCACATGCTTGTAGGGACTAGGCTCATTGGCCAGACCTTGTTACATTAATAATAATAATAAAAATAATAAAGAAGAAATTCAGTCCTGTCCCTTACCAAGTACATGGTCAATATATCAGTATCCCGCACAAAATATGTTCAATTTCATTTAAAAAAAATTGTCCCTTCCCACAGTGAGCTTACATTCTTCCGGAAAAGAGAAATAAGTAGATATAAAGATAAGTAAATGCAAATGTAGCATCCCTTCTGAGCTCACTCCTCCAACTTGCACTAATAAGTTGCAGCCTCAGAGAAACAGTGCTAACCCAAATTCTAGATGGTAACCCTACGGGTGGCTATCCCTTCTAACACTTTAGCTCTTCATCTCAGACAGATCTTACCCATAACAGTCAGCTAGAAGACTGTTAGCTTTTAGAAAGGCATTTATAAGGGACAGCTAGGCAGAAAAGTAGGTAGAGCACTAGCCCTTGAGTCAAGAGGACTAGAGTTCAAATATGGCCTCAGACACTTACTAGCTGTGTGACCCTGGACAAGTCACTTAACCCCATTGCCTCAAATAAATAAATAAATAAAAGGCATGTATGTAAATGGCATAACAAGAATAGTAGTTACAAAGCATTTCCCCCCAAAACACTGAGGTGCATGCCCACAAATACACACAGGTGGTTGGGAACAGGGAGAAGAGTAAATAGTTAGCATGCAATGATAGTGAGGCACACGGAGAGAACACAGGTGCCCAGGACAACTTATAATTCCAGAACAGCAAGGCCTTAAGGTTCTTTCTTTCTTTGGGAAGTCATCACTAAGTCCACTGTAGGGTGGAAGAAAGTAATTTGGGTGGGAGCATTAATAGCTGGAGGGATCATAAAAGGCCATTCTGTAGGCGATGGCCTTGAGACTAGAGCTGACCCCTGAAATGATTCTAAGGGGCAAAGATGAGGAGGAAAAGCCTGAGGCTGAACCTATGCAAAGACCCAGGACAAGAGGTAGAATGTTTGTAGATGGGGAACAATAAGCAGAACAGTTTGGAGGGAAGGTAGAGGCTAGGAGAGAGTGTAAAATGAAGTAAGTCTGGAAAGAGGCTGGAGAGAAACCGTGAAGACATTTCAATGACAGAGGAGGAGATTGTACGTATTTATTTATTTTTGTTTAGGCACCAGGCTTAAGTGACTTGCCCAAGGTCACCGAGAGTTATGTGTCTGAGGCCAGATTTGAACTCAGGTCCTCCAGGGCTGGTGCTCTTTGCACTGCACGACTGTATTTATTCCTAAGACAAGAGAAGCAATGGGAGCTTCCTGAGCTAGGAAGTCACATGATTAGACCTGGACTTTAGGAATATGGAGGCTGGTTAGAAGAGGGGAGAGAGAATGGAGTCGTGAGAACCAATTAGGAGGCTATTACAATGGTCCAGCTGGGAGGGTGATGAATGCAGGGGTAGTTGTGTAAGAAGAGATTAGAGATGGTGTGGAAGTGGAAGTAACAAGACTAAGCAACTGATTGGATGTGGAGGATGAGGGAGTGCTCATCTTGTGAAAAATAGGTACCAAAATACCACTTCAGACTTAGAGCGACCCCTGCACGTATTCACCCATTCAGTATAACAGTCTAATGTGGTCTTTAGGGAGAACAGATGTGGAATATGATTGCAAGGATCTTCTTTATTTCTAGCAGAGTCCTTGGGAGTGTCTTTAGTCTTTTAGAAACAGAGGATTTAGAATCAAAAAGACCTGCATTTTAATCTTGTCTCAGCCACTTACTTACTAGCTGTGACCCTTAGGCAAGTTGCCTGGCCTCTCTGCCTCGGTTTCTTCATCTGTAAAATGGGAATAATAATAGCCCCTACTTCACAGGATTGTTGATGACACATGTAAAGCTTTATGCAAATTTTATCCTAGAAGGAAGCAATTTAAAAACTGTGTTTAAAAGTTGAATTTAAAGGAGGTGGCCTGATAATGGGGGGAGAGGGAGGGAGAAGGAGGGGGGGGAAAGAAAAAAGAGAAGAAAATGAGGAAGATAGGAACAAATGCATTTTGGTGGGGAAAATGTCATATGCAAAGGTTCAAAACCAAGACCAAAAAAAGCTGTAGGGAA